ACTTATTTGGTCATTATACGATTAAAAAATCATTGGGGGCGTGGTTTGCATAATTAACTAAAGAACGGTACGGTTCGTTTCTTGCACGGAACGGTACGCTTTGTGGACGGTACGGTACGCTTTGTTCACGGAACGGTTCGCTTTGTGGACGGTACGGAACGCTTTGTGCACGGAACGGTTCGCTTTGTGCACGGAACGGTACGCTTTGTTCACGGAACGGTTCGCTTTGTGGACGGTACGGTACGCTTTGTGCACGGTACGGTACGCTTTCTGCACGGAACGGTACGGTTCGTTTCTGAGGTGTAGTAGCACGGTTTAGGGTCTGTAATTGAAACGAAAAAAAATCATCAAACTTTTAAATGACCCTTTGGTAATTTTCCTTCAGTATATGTCGAGCAAAACAGGGCGAATTGCTAGGTTGCTCAAGTATTTAAAAGACTACGAAATAAAGCTAGTGTCTTTCCTGATATACTTTATTTTATCAAATAAAATATACAACATTACTAAGATAGTCATGTTGTATATTTTATTTGATAAAATAAAGTATATCAGGAAAGACACTAGGAACTTAGAGGATTTACTCATTGTCGGGTCAGTGGACAAGATTATAAGCAATTCTAGAAGCAGTAAAGGAAGCTATAGCTATAGATACATTATTATTTATTCTAATAATAATAACTTTGCTTATAAACAAATATACAAACTAAAAATATTTACTGAATATCATAAAATTCATGATTTATGAACTTTGTTTTCATAATTTTAAATAGAGTGCCTCTTGAAATTGTGAATTTTATGGCCCCAAGGTCAGGGGTTCTGGTGTTATGATGGGGCTCTATTGATTATATAGTGAAAATGCATTTATTCTTTGAAAATCTTCTTCTCGTCTCCTGGGTATTAAATAAATTAACTAAGTACATAGTTATGATGAGCAAGAGTGCCTCTTTTAAAATTGTGAGTTTTATGGCCCCAGGGTCAAGAATTCTTGTACTAGGGAGGGGCTTTATTGATTATATAGTGAAACTGTATTTATTCTTTGAAAATCTTCTTCTCGTCTCCTGGGTATTAAGTTAACTAAGTACATAGTTATGATGAGCAAGAGTGCCTCTTTTAAAATTGTGAATTTTATGGCCCAAGGGTCAGGAATTCTAGTGCTAGGGAGGGGCTCTATTGATTATATAGTGAAAATGCATTTATTCTTTGAAAATCTTCATCTCTGCTCCTGGGTATTAAATAAGCTAACTAAGTACATAGTTATGATGAGCAAGAGTGCCTCTTCCAAAATTGTGGATTTAATGGCCCCCAGGGTCAGGGGTTCTGGTGTTAGAGAGGGGCTCTATTGATATCGATTATATAGCGGATATACATTAATTCTTTGAAAATCTTTGCTTTGCTCCTGGGTTTTATGCCAATGATCCAAGTATATATATTTCTGATGAAGAAAGGTGCATCTAGCAAAATGATTTTTATTTATGCCCCTCCCCCCTCCCCCGCTTTGAAATCTGCTCTTTGGTATTGATCAACCATTTTATGATAAAATTTGCAAAATTTTGAAACTTGTGGCCCCAGGGTCAGTGGTTCCTTTGGGGTGAGGTGCAAAACTAGTTCTAAAGTGGAAGTGAATTTTCTCTTTGTTACTCTGATCTACCTCTGGGTATTAAGTAAATAGAGTAATCATGCAAAGTTTATAATCATGATAAGCAATGGTATCTCTTTAAAAATCGTGAATTTCTATGCCTCTGGTTTAAAACACGAACCAAAGTTAATTGTTTGAAAGTTGTTACACAATACTCAGGTGACCTATAACGCCCGTGGGCCTCTTGTACTATACTTATTATAAGAAAAAAGTCTGACTTACGAAGTCCGTAACTTTTCACTTAAGATACGATGCTTCTGCATTACTAATGTTTTCATAAGTTTTTACCGTAACCTTAACTTACGAACAATTCGTAAGATATGGTCTTGGAAATCTCTTTTCCAGGATATATAAATATTCGTAGTGAGGAACGCTGTGCAAACGCAATAGTCCTTTACTTTTTTCTACGCGGCAATAAGTTATTCTCGTCTGCGACAGAAAATAATGGAAAAAGAAATCAAAACATAGAATGCCTAGCTGGAGTAAGGGGGGGGGGGGGGGGGGGGGTCGTGGCCTTGGCGGAGACAGTGATCCCTAGGGCCCAATACCTTAAAAGGAAGCTGTCTCCGTCATTAACAGCTGAGAAAAAAACAGAAGCTGTGGGAGGAAGTAGCTGATGAGTAAGCATGGCGGCGAACCCCAAATCATGAAATATGTACCACAATAAAGTAACCAGAAGTCTCTGTCGAGACTGTAGCTCTACTAGTTTGTACTTATCAAAAACCATTGTAACATTTTATGTATCTTTGTGTAGTCTACTTGTGTGCCAACTTATTTTGAAATCAAACTAAAACTGTAGAAGGAATAACATTTTAAAGGAATTTCACAGAAAATTCTATTTTTAGTAACCATGGTAACACCATTCATCGAAATCAAAAACCGATGCACTATCTATGTATCTTAGTGTAGTGTACTTATGTGCCAAGTTTTATTGAAATCGGACAAAAAAAGTAGAAGGAGTAGCGTTTTAAAGGAATTTCACAGAAAATTCTATTTTTAGTAACCATGGCAACACCGTTCATCGAAATCTAAAACCGATGCACTATTCTATGTATCTTAGTGTAGTCTACTTGTGTGCCAAGTTATGCTGAAATCAGACCAAAACTGTAGAAGGAGTAGTGTTTAAAAGGAATTTCACAGAAATTTCTATTTTTAGTAACCATGGCAACAACCGTTCATCGAAATCAAAAACCGATGCACTATTCTATGTATCTTAGTGTAGTCTACTTGTGTGCCAAGTTATATTGAAATCCGACCAAAACTGTAGGTCCTGAGGAGTAGCGTTTTAAAGAAATTTCACAGAAATTTCCATTTTTAGTAACCACGGCAACTCCACTCATCGAAATCCAAAACCGATGCACTAATTTGTGTATCTTTGTGTAGTCTACTTGTGTGCCAAGTTATACTGAAATCAGACTGAAACTGTAGGAGGAGTAGCGCTTTGAAAAAATTTTTACAGACAGACGGACAGCAGACGGACGGACGCCGGACGCATTACTATCGCATAAGCTCTTCTGGTCTCTGACCAGTAGAGCTAAAAACTGAATAGAAGCATATCAATTTATTGTGTGGAACTTTCAGGTGTTGCATAAAACTTGAAAAATCAATAAGAAAAATGCATTTAAATTTTACAATGTTTAAATAACAGGGTCCAGTAGAATCTCTTGATTTAGCCATATAGCTTTTAATAGCTATATAGCTTTATTAAGAATTGAAAATAGATTTATTTAGCTTGTCATTAAGCATATTGAGGTCAGGCATTTCTTTCATAAAATTAAATTTGTATACTTATTTACATATGTAGATTTAAGCCTTTGTATAATGGTAATTCTTTACGTTTAAAGTTCTTAAATATATTTTGTTTTCTTGTTTTCATTACTTCATTAGAATTTCCTCTGTTGTATACTATGGCTATCTTACCTGAATGTTTGCGGGGATTGAGTGTTATCTATAGGTTTTAGGCTGTATTAGATCCTCATGATCGTCCACTGGGCGCAGTATGACACACCGCTGGAACCTATACCGTTCAATAAGTTTCATTATCATATCAAGGACCTATGTCCTGTCTTGAAAAACTCTCGCCAGACGAGCCTATTGTCTTTTTCTTCATCCAAAATACCTCCACATGCTACCAGTGCACCCATGTTTATTAAAAAATGACGCAATTTGCGACAATTTCCTACCTTAAAAGAGCCCCAAACCTCTCGTAAGCTACGACATTTTTGTCGCTACTTAAAGAAGTTGGCTAAGATAGAAATTCATCGTAACTTACGGTTACGATTAAATCTTCACCAAAGAAGTTGAGTAAAACTCAAAAGCTTGGGCTTTAAAAACTCAGTATTATCCTTTTTCATCGTGAAAGAATGTTCTGCATTAAAGGAGCTTACAGTAAGTACTGTTCCATTAAGGAGGGTTGGGGCAAATTAAGTACCTGAGAGTACGTCCTCTTGAGTTTTACTGACTTGATATAAAATTCTGTTATAACCTTAAGTTACGATAAAGTCTTACTAAACTTCGTATCGGGGCTACTTTAAGTAAAGATTTTATGTTTTACGCACTTCTAGATATAGAAGAGGGAGGTTCACTAGAGTTTTGTACGTGGTGTCCAAGTACTCAACCACCCCTCATAAATACAGCATTCTATCAAAAACCGTAGCTCGATTTATGCCAGTCTCTTGTTTATTTATTTATATTCAGTTTCTTCTTAAAATAGCAAAAATTTGTGCATATTAATTGGGCATATAGCTCGTGAAATAAGCGTTGCTTATGTTCCGACGTCTATCCGTATTATATGAATGTAACTGCATAACCTGTCTTTTATACCGCATACAAAGAAAATCATCCGATTGATACTAAAAATGTTTTCAACAACTTGTGAAAGTTTTAAAATACCTGAATATGAGCCGGCATAAAACCTGCAGTCTTCTGGTTCAATATCTACGACATGTTATATCTATACCAGTGTCAACAAGCGTGAGGATAACGTTGGAAGGAAAGCAATACCTCAATTAGCTCACAGTCATACATCGTGTCAAGCACTTGGTGTCTGTCTCGGAAAACCCGCTCCCTTCGTAAAAGTTTGTCGTTTTCTTGTAAAATTTCTCTCATGGTTACATGTACGCCATTTTGCATTGTAGTTCGTAAAGCATCTTATGAATTGATGTTTGTGAGAACCCTAAAAACTCTTTTATCGATGTTGCGATGTCCTCCCTCCTCTCAACGGCTTTGGAGTTTGCAGTGTTAAATGCATAAATGCTCGCAATTAAGCCAAATAACACTTGGGAAAATTTTCCACCAAAAACCTTTTTCATTGTTTCTTGAAGGATTGACGTAAATTGAAAAAAAAGAACGTTGGAATACAAAAAAAAAATCTTTTCATTTCCGAGAATGGAAATGATCTTTATTTCAAAAGAAAAAGATAAAATAACAGTCCTAAATAAAACGTCAACAGGCTGGTATCTTTCCCAATAGCACCACTCGCATTTTCTGCAATTGAAAAATAGTGATTGGATTGTCAAAAAGTGTGTGAAATAAGACAGTTGTCGAAATATTTATTTCTTTTATGTCCTTGGTTTCACCAAGCATATGCCATTCTCAAAGAAAATTCATGATACAAAATTAAAACGCATGGACTGTCACATTAAAGCAAAATTAAATTTGGGATGCGCGTTTATCAATTTTCATTACATATATGTGATGTTCATCTGTCGTGCAATTTATATCTAACAATTTATATCTTTTTGTAAATCAAACTTATAACACCTAATTTCTGAGATGATGGTAGTTCACCACATTCAAAAGATTTTAAAAAGTGAATCATAAAAGTAATTTTTAATTTAGTATTCCTTAAATAATGTCTTATGTTTTCAGATGTAGGGTTTTGTGATGTGTACAGTTTATCATAGAATTTACATAATTGTCCCAAGATATCATTACTACTAAAAAAAAGTTTGGTTATACCCATTATTAAGTGTTTTCTCCTTAAATGCGAGGGGGGTTGAATACATACGAAAAAAATAGTTTTATATGATTGGCTTCAAGATTTAGACATAGATATTGTATTATTACAAGAAACTCATTATATAGAATCGAGAGAGTATCAATATAATGCCAGATGGATGGGCTCTCGTTTTCACTGTTTTCGAGTTCAGCGTTTAGTAGGGGTGTCTCTATATTAATCAGAAAAAATTTTCCTCATGAATTGATTAACTATCACAGATCTTCTGACGGAAGGAAAATTTTGATAAATCTAAAAATTAATGATATAACGTTTTCAATAGCAAATCGCTATGCACCAAATAATGTATCCGATAGAAAAGAATTTTATATAACAACAAAGTCTTGGGTAAGAACAAGCAAATTCAAAGAATTGTGGTCCCCCGCTTTCGCTGTATTTGTGCGTGGGATTGTCATTCTTTATGCCAAATTGTGTCAAATATGAGTGCCCTATCACATGTCATTTAGAAATTATCACCGATCGAAGTTGATTTAAAAAAAATAAGATCAGTTGTGAAGGTCCAGGTCAACGGGCTAGAAATCATAGAATCAAGATCTTGTTACAGGTAATGTACAAGTCAAATATGAAAGCCCTGTTTCTTCTCAATCAAAAGTTATAAGGGAATATTAATAATTTTGAAAAGTAGGTCAAACTTCTTCAAGGTCAAGGTCACAAGATCAAAATTCATCGTGTATTTGGAAAGGTCTTATCACAGGCAATACACAGGGTCAATATGAAAGCCCTATCTCTTCTCATCCAGAATTCATGACCAAGGATAAAATTTTTGAAAAGTAGGCCAAACTTCAATGTCAAATTCACGAGGTCATAAATCATAGTGTTTGAGGTAGGTCTTGTCACAGGTAATACACATGTTTAATCTAAAACATTTTTTTAAAAATTTGGTCAAACATGAAGTTCAAGGTTGGGGCGTGTATTTAGAAAGGCCTTATCACAGATAATACACATGTATAATATAAATGTCTTATCTCTTCTCATTTAAAAGATATGATCAAGGTTAAAGTTGTTGAAGATAAGTGAAATTCAAGGTAAAGGGGTCAAAAATCATAGTGTACTGTGAAATCACTTATTTTCGAGGGGGTTTAATTTTCGTGGTTTTCAAGGTATGCAGAGGCCCACGAATTTATGTCCACTACGAATGCAATTTTTCACAAATATTACAACTGAAAAATTCCTTAACCACGTAATAAAATCCCATGAACCAATAAAATTTCCTCAAACCACGAAAATTTGGCCCTTTGAAAATATGTGATTTTACAGTATTAACAAAGGTCTTGTTACAGGTAATGCACATCTCTAATGTAAAAGCCCTATCTCATCTCATTCACAAGTATTGCCAATTCAAAGTTATGTTTAATTTTTAAATTAGGTCAAATTTCAAGGTCAAGGTCACGGACTCAAAAAAAACTTAGAAAAATTCTTTTATGTCCCCTTGCTTTCGCGAAAGCAACAAAAGTTTTATATCTGACGTGGCATCGTTTTTCTTGAGCAATCCGATGTAAAAACTTAAATTATTTTACTAAAACACTACATTACCCTTATATCACCCTTCTTTGCTAATACTGTACTGCACCCAAAAGTGTGTGTGTGTGAGGGTGTGTGTGTGTGTGTTGGAGGGGACTTATAATGGCCAAGTTTTTCTTTATATTCTGCATATCTTGAATACACTTATCATTAAACCACGGTTTATATTTCGTTCTCTTACATCTTACATGTGTATCCCATGACTACTTGGAGCTTCGTACAGCATACTGAGGTAACACAATAATAACACTAACAGCACAAAAACAGAATTAACACAATTATAATACCCCCCGCTTGAAAAGCTGGAGGGTATATAGTAATCGGTATGTCCGTCTGTGTGGTACGCTTTAGGGTACCAATCCCTTATCCGCAACTCCTCTCATACACTGAATGAAAGATGAAACTTTCATAGAATCTTTATTACATATTGCCATTGTGCACCTCCTATTTTACTTTTTTATCCGACACACATCTTTCCCACAGCAAAAAATAGACTCTGCCTATTTAGTCATATGGGAGGCGGGGGTATCATTTAGTGAGCTCATTGCTCACAGTACCTCTGGTTATACCCCCCGTTTGAAAAGAGGGAGGATATATAGTAATCGGTATGTCCGTCCGTCCGTCTGTTACGCTTTGGGGTACCCATCTCTTATCCGCAACTCCTCGTATACCACGGAGTGAAATTTTATGAAACTTTCACAGAATCTTTATTACATATTGCGATATGCACCTCCTATTTTACTTTTTGATCTGTCACTAATTTCGGGTCTCCAAGAGCAAAACATGGACTTTGCCATTATAACCATATGTGGTTATAACCATAGATATATATCTTATTGCTCACAATATTATGTTTTTACATCATTCTGATTATATAGTGGGGTTTCAACAATTTTCATCAATATTATGTTGAAGAGCACTTGTAATTTCAGTACAGCTCAGCTCCTTCCATTTCACTTACAAACCGAACTTAACAATGTATGTAATATTTTTATACCCTCCGCATGAAAAGCGGGAGGGTATATAGTAATCGGGATGTCCGTCCGTCTCTTACGCTTTGGGGTACCCACCTCTTATCCGCAACTCCTCTCATACCACACAATCTTTATTACACATTACCATTGTGCACCTCCTATTTTAGTTTTTGATCCGACAATTATTTCCCATTGCAAAACATGATCACTGCCATTATATTCATATTTCTGTCTTATTTTTATTTTAAAGTTACTTCCCTTTGCCCGTGACCTATTGCTATCTGTTTTTGTTTGTCGTCGTCCGTCGTCAATCGGTCGTAAACATTTGAACAATTTTGGCTTCTTCTCGGGAATCGCTGAGCCAATTTCCACCAATTTTGGTTTATACAATCAATGGGTGAAGGGGACAAAAATTTTGAAATTCATGGCCCCTGTCCCCCTGTGGCTTAAGGGGTGGGGCCCAAACCACTAAGCTAATGTAAATAAATACATAGTTATGCTGAAAATTGTGAATTTCCTGGCAAATTGGTCAAGGCTTTTGGTGTTAGGGCAGTGCTCTATTGATTATATACTGATATATAGTGAAAATGTATTAATTCTATGAAATTCTTCTTCTCTGCTCCTAGGTATTAAACAAACTAACTACGTACATAGTTATGATAATGAAGGGTGTCTCTTTTAAGTATTATGAATTTCATGGCCCCAGGGTCAGGAGTCCTGGTGTTAGGACCGGGCGCTAACGATTATATAGTGAAAATGCATTAAATCTTTGAAAATCTTCTTTTCTGCTCCTTAAACAAACTAACTGCGTACAAAGCTATGATGAGGAAGGATGCTTCTTCTAAAATTGTAAATTCCATGACCCAATGGCCAGGGGTTCTGGTATTAGGGCGGGTCTCTATTGATTATATAGTGAAAATGCATTACTTCTTTTAATATCTTCTCTGCTCCTGGATATTAAGCAAACTTACAACATACAAAGTTATGATGAGAAAGAGTGCTTATTCTAAAATTGTGAATTTCACGACCCCAGGGTTAGGATATCTTAGGTAGGGGGGGGGGGGTATTGATAAATGATTATATTGTGAATATGTATTTTTAGTTCTTAAATAATTTTTTCCTCTGCTTCTTGGTATTAAACAAACTGACTACAGACTTAGTCATGATGAGTAAGGGTGCCTCTTGTAAACTTGTGAATTTCTTAGCCCCAGGTTCAGATGTTTTTTGTTTTAGGATATGACCCTTTGATTATATAGTTAAAATGTATTGATTTATGAAAATTTCCTCTGCCCCTGGGTATTAAAAAAACCAAAGACACAAATAGTTATGATGCCCCTGGGTATCTAAAACACTAAATACACAAATAGTTATGATGAAGAAGAGTGCCCCTTTGAAAATTGTGAATTCCATGGCCCCAGGGTAAGGAGTTCTGGTGTAAGGGGGGAGACAGTTTTGATTATATAGTGAACATGCATCAATTCTGTGAAAATCTTCTATGTTCTTGGGTATTAAACAAGCTTACTACAAGTTTACACAGTTATGCTGGACATGGATCAATCTTCCAGAAATTGGAATTTCAAGGCCCCTGGATAAGGGGTATCTTAAAGGACGGGGGGGGGGGGCTCTAGTGTGTAGCTATGATGAGCAATGGGTCTTTTTTCAAAATTGCAAAAATTGTGCAATAGGTCATGGTCTCTGGTTTGAAACATGAACCAAATTCAAATGTTGAAAAGTTGTTGCACGCATATGATGCTAAGGTGACCTATAAGGCCCGTGGACCTCTTGTTTCAGTGTCCGAAGCCATGGTACATGTGTGATATAAAGTTTTCTAACAGCAATTAATGTCTAAAAGACATGAACCTCCTCTTTCCAAACTCCATGCTAACCTTGCACTATTATTATACAACCGAATGAGGATTAACTAAAAGTAATTCATGCACTTTTTTATTTAATAAAATAAATCATAATTCTAAAGGGATCCATGTACAGTCCAATAATAGTGTCACCCACCTCTCTTCGTGAGAAATACAGTCATATTCCGGTTGCCACCTTCAAATTTATCGTCAACCAGCAGGCAATTATATGACGTCATATCCTCTTTCGTGACATTATTGATTGTCAGGGTTGTCACCAAATCGTCTCCGTCTCTGGGAGTAAAGGAATGATTAATTATATTCATACTGAATAGCATATCCTTATACCCCCTGCTTGAAAATCGGGGGAGGGGATATATGAACAGTATGTCCGTCCGTCCGTCTGTTACGCTTTGGGGTACCCATATCTTTTTTTCAATTCCTCTTATACCACTGAGTGAAATTTAATGAAACTCTTACAGAATCTTTATTACATATTGCCACTGTGCACCTCCTACTTTACTTTTTGATCCGACGCATATTTTGGGTTTCCCGGCTACAGCAAAACATGGACTTTGCCATTATAACCATATGGGAGGCGGCGGGTATCATTTAGTAAGATCATTGCTCACAATACCTCTAGTTTCTCACAAAAAAAACGATAAATAGAAGAACTCTTATTATACCCCCCCCCTCCCCTTTAAAAGCGGGAGGGTATATAGTAATTGGTATGCTAGATAGCAATGAAAGTGAAATGATCAAAATCTTGGCCGATAATATACATGTAACTTTAAGAAATCGGTAAGTTGATAAAATAGAATGTCAAAATATCTGTGGTAAATGAGTCATTTAACATCATATTTTTTAAAATGAGCGAGATTTGTATGAAGTTTAAATTAGTGTTTACAGTATTTTAATAATACATGTTCATTAATTCATGTAGACCTTGGACATCAGTGTGAAATTCAAGTTGCAATTCACTGAACAAGAATCAAAACTTTGTGAATCCCATAGGTGTAGTATTTTTATACAGCAAAAATAAAGCTGTGGTACCAACGAAACATATATTATGTTTTTACAGCATATTGTAACGATATTATTACTTCATTACATTATTTAACCACTATATAAAATTAGGTTGCCACCTGTAATAAAGTTGATTCAATTGTTTTGTTCTTGCGTATGTGTGGATGTTTAAATAGGTTTAAAAATTGATTTTGTTTTGACCAGTGTAAGTTTCCTATAAAATTTTAGGTGTGGCGAATATTAAAGTGCAAGGGATTTGTAGCAATTTCATCAATTTTGATAATAATCTCCTTAATATTATACATTTTTATTTTAAATTCCTAGGATATGCCCGGTAAGCGGTTTTTTTTTTTGTTGGTCAGTTTTCAATATTGTAAGTATGTTCTTTTGTTTGGGGTTTTTCTGTGTGTAAATTTATTTTAGGGTTAGTTACACGTATGTTATTTTCAGTATGTAGTTAAGAAAATCAATTTGAACTTTCTCTGTACATAAAATATACAAATTATGAATTTTTATAAGCTCATTTGCATAGAAATACTATCTTTAGCCTTAACTCACTTGCGCATTTCCAAGCCGGAGGATTACACCCGCGAATCCGGGCCTCCATCTACGTTTGTAAATTCCCTGTAGTCGTTTGTCCGCAGGTGTGGTTATGGGGGCGGATCAGCACGTGGTGGCGGGAGTCCTTCAGACTAGTGACTTGTGAGCTAGTAAGTAACTTTTGTATGTGAATAAAATTTGAGAAAAGAAATTCCAAAAACTATTATACAGATTATTTATTAAAGTGAACTTTTTCAATTTCCTGTCAATCTTTGTATCTGATACGCGATTTGAGAAAAAAGACTGTTGATTTAAAGTAATTTAAGTATATTATTTCTAGTTTGGGTGTGGTGAGAAAAGAGAGAGAGGGAGAGAATATTATTATTTTTTTGGTTTATTTTCATAAAGAATTTTTTTTCGTTAAGTTATTTACAATTTGTTCTTTTATCTCAGCAGTACAAAATTTTTAAGAACTCATTACACCACCACTGTATATTTTAGGAAACGCTGTCATGGGATAAAAGGCAAAGCCCCAAATGTATAAATTATCCAACGTACGTTTCCAACTCTCGTTAATGTTCCTGGCATACCTGACAAACTAGAGTACTTCCTTATATTATTATTTTAAAAATGTTAAATAAATTTGTAAATTTTGATTATTAAAATGTCTTGTTGGTTTAAAATACACGAGACTTCCAGTGTCAATTTCATTAGTCCCCACCCACTTACGTCAGACACAAAGACAGACGCACGAAATTTACACGCATGGAAGGCCTCCTTAGCTTCTGGCCTTTCGCTTGTCGAAATATACATTCTGTTTGAATTATTAAGAAATCAACTCTTCTACCTTTCAAAGAGTTATCAGAAAATAATTTTATTTTCGTTGTAACGCGTTATCTGATTTGATAGAAAATTAATCTATATTGCATAACCTATTTGGCCTACGTCACAATGACAAAAACGTATCAATCCGCTTTATGTTACTTTTAAAATATGTACAATATGAATGCGTTTTTAAGAGAGAAATTGCCTTGTTTTCTAAACTAAAAACTGAAAATTAAATAATAAGGAATAAATTAAATAGAAACTTAATATGTTATTCAAGGAATCAATGTCTAGTTAGCATAGTATGCCAGGGCATCAACAATAATGAGAAACATGGGTTAATTTGCATAACGGGCGAAGCCCGTTTTGCATAAATTATCCCATGCATGTTTGCCACTATCGTTGATGTCCCTGGCATACTATACAGTGATTCCTTATATTTCCATTTTATTGCGAAAAAAATTGTATGTTTAGATTTTAAAAATATAGAAATAGATTTAAATTTTACGGGGACTCACATGCCAATTTAATAGTCCTCTCCCACTGACGTCAGTCACAAAGGCAGCTGCACGAGATTTACATGCATATTTGGTCTCCTTGGCGTCAGACACAGAGACATACATGTATGCGCACGAGATTTGCATGCAAATTAGGCCTCTTTAGCTCCTGATCTATCGATCTGCCTAATTTACATTTCAGTAGAATTATCGAGATATATTTGCATCCACTGAATATTTTCTCGTTTATTTCTTAAGAAAACCTACTGGTTAATCACTGCATGAACTACATTAGGCATGTCGCCTGTACGTATTTCTTGATCAGTGGCTGTTCCATCAATGAAACGTATAAAAACGTTCGCATCATTAATACAATAATTAATGTTTTAATCCTACTTTAAATGATTATTTAATTAGATATAAATATAAACAATAAAATGTCCTTGTTAAAAGCATTTTATTGTTTAAATCAACTCCGCTAACGTTCAAAGAGTTCTCACAGAGAAAAAAATGGAAATATATTGGTATAACCTGGGTTGGAGGAGTTTACTTTTTTATAAACCACGAAGCGGTTTATAAGGCGTAAACTGCCACATTTGTTGCTGTTTAATTCATTCCTTAAGAAAACAAATAAAAATGAGAATTTTATGATAAAACAATTGCATATAAAAAAAAAATTATCACTGAATATAATAATTATATAATAATGACTTCATCATTTCTTATAAAGGTTATACCACTTGATATATAGTATGAATATAACATTAAAGCAGTCATGAAGTTCCATACAACTTACAAGTTTTGATTTATTTTGTATTTCTGATTGTCTTCCAACCTTCTTCTACCCATAAACCAAAAGTAAAAACTCTCTCCATTGTAACACTTTCCTACGTTGTGTGCCGAAGTTGCTATACTGAAATCAGACCAAAACTGTAGGAGGAGTAGCATTTTGAAACAATTTTACAGACATTTCTAGTTTTAGTAACAGCGGCGAAACAATCTGAAAATGAAAACATTTCAAATATTGATTTCGATATGGCATTATATACTGTTAAATCAAAATGTTGCGAAAATGCGGCCCTTCCTTTTGCCTTTTGTTTAATGTATGTAAAGAGTCAAAACACCTAGCTGCAAAACTACTAGTATAGCTTTCCAAAAGAAATATATTGACAGACCGGGTTGTCTTGTTCCCAAATATGTTCTCTTGAATGTTAAAAAAATGAAATGGGAAATAATAGAGGAATGAATATTTAATAACACAGTTTGTTTCTTTTTTTAATCTATCTATTCTGTAAAAAAGTTCGGTAGATGTAGGGGTCGAAAAATGGATAAAAGCATCGCATTTTTTCTTTAGGAAAAGAAAACAATTATGATTTTCCATACCATAGAACTCGAACTCTCTCTCTCTCTAAAAGAAATAAAATTCGGTACTAAGGACGTACTTATACGGAGCGCAGCGAGCTCAGTAGACTAACGTGTACAAACAGAAGAAATTCGGAATGAAATCTGTACATACGAAAGGCGTGTTTTCCTGTGCAACATTCCCAGAATTCCTTCGATACCAGGGTTCCATGCGAATTTATTTTAAAACATACAAAAGACCAAGAATCATCGTTCTTTGCCAAAGTGCGTTGCCATAGTGCGGGGACAATTGAAATTGACATGGAAGGCATCGTATAATTTAAATCTATTAGACAATTTTATTTCACAATGAAATGGAAATATTTATGTGGAATTACTGTCTAGTTTATTCCCAATTTTTGACACAAGGGACGCCGGATACTCTTTGATCCAAGACCTTTCTAAATGCAGTATGATTTTTAAACTCGTGACCTTGGCCTCGATACTTTTTTTTTTAAAATTAAACTATACTCACGACTTTTGAATGAGAAGACACATGGCTTTCATATTAAATTTGTGTATTGCTTGTAACACTGGTGACAAGCTAAGTCCTTTCTAAATACATGTACACTATGATTTTTTATTTTGTGACCTTGTCCTGGAAGTTTGACCTTTTTTTCAAAAATGTTATTTTTTACTTATAACCTCTGAGAATTGACATGGCTTTCATATTTGACATGTACATTTCCTGTGGTAAGATATTTCAGAGCATGCTCTGATTTCTGGCTCCTTTGCCTTAATCTTTACAATTTATTAGGTCACCTGAGTAAACTTAGGTGACCTATTGCTATCCGTTTTCGTCCGTCGTCGTCCGTCGTTCGTTAACATCTGAACATTTTCAGCTTCTTCTCTGAAACTACTGAACCAATTTCAATCAAATTTAAGATATAGCGTCCATGTGTGAAGGGGAACAAAAATTGTGAATTTCATGGTCCCAGCCCCCCTGTGGCCTGGGGAGTGGGGCAAAAACCACTAAATTTAGTGCAATCTTTTAAAATCTTTTTTACTCCTGGACATCAAGCAGTCATACTGTTGCTACCGGTATGATTGTAATTAGCATTGAGTCCTCTACCAAAATTGTGAAATTCATGGCCCCAGGGTCAGGGGTTCTAGTGCTAGGGCGGGGCTAAATAGGTTATAAAGTGAAAATGCATTATTTCTTTGAAATTCTTCTTCTCTGCTCCTGGGCATTAACTAAGCTAACCAAGTGCAAAGTTGAGTTGAAAATGACTGCCTCTTCCAAAATTGTGAATTTACTGACCTCAGGGTCAGGGGTTCTAGTTCTAGGTTGGGGCCATATAGATTATATTGTGAAAATGCATTAATTCTTTGATATTCTTCTTTTCTGTTTGCGGGCATTAAATAAACTAACCAAGTGCATAGTTATGTTGAATAAGGCTGCCTCTTCTAAAATTGTGAATCTAATGGCCCTAGGGTCAGGGGATCTAGTGGCAGGGCGGGGCTATATAGATTATACAGTGAAAATGCATTATTTCTTTGAAAATCTTCTTTTTTGCTCCTGGGCATTAAATAAACTAACCAAGTACACAGTTATGTTGAATAAGGCTGCCTCTTCCAAAATTGTGAATTTCAAAATGTTCGAAAATTGGGGGTTCCGGTGTTGCCTTTTGATTATATAGTGGAAAGCATCAAAAACTCTTGCAAAATCTTCTTTTCTGGACCTGGGTATTAAACCAATGAACTATGTACATAGTTATGAGATTTGTGAATTTCAGGGCCCCTGGGTCAGGGCTTCTTATGTTAAGGCGGGGCTCTTATGTTTATATAGTGAAAATGCACGAATTCTTTGAAAACATTTTCCTTTGATCCTGGGTATTATGGCAATGATCTTCGTATATATTTTTGACGAAGAAAGCTGCTTCTTCAAAAAATGCTTAATTTCCTGGCCTCTGGGACAGATGTACTTGGGGGGGGGGGGGGTTACATAGTCTGAAAATTGTTTAATGCTTTGAAATCTGCACTTTGGTATTATCAAAATGATGAAATAAAATTTCCAAAATTTTGAAAGATGTGTCCCCAGGGTCAGTGGTTTCTGTGGGATGGGGTGCACAACTGATAATGATAAAGTTGAAACGCATTTTCTCTTTGTTACTCTGATCTACCTCTTGGTATTGCTAACCAAAGTAAGCATGCTGAGTGCAATTAATTATGATAAACAATGGTGCCTCTTTAAAAATTGTGAATTTCATAGCCTCTGGTTTAAAACATGAATCAAATTCAATTGTTGGAAAGTAGTTGCATGATATTCAGGTGACCTATAAGGCCCATGGGCATCTTGTCTAATTTTTGAAAAATCAATTTCAGTGATAACTTCTGAATGACATATGAAAGGGCGTTCAAATTTGACACAATATTATGCCATAAAAATGTCATATCACCCACAGAGACACCGAAAGTGGGGGACCATAATTCTTTTAATTCGCTTGTTTACTCTTTATTTCCATGAAAAGTTTCATCCCAAGAGTTACATTATAATTCAACTAAATTAATTGAATACAAGTACACACAACATGGCAATGCATCAAATAAATTTGGCTAAAATTGGTTTGTCTACTCCGGAAGAGAGATCTTTTTTAAATTATTCCTCTTTACATGTATTGTGTAAAAGTTGATAGCAGTAACTAATTTCAGTGGACAAACCTGCATGTCTGTGTCCATGATTTTGGCGGGTGACTCAGATTTGGAATATTTGTATATCTATATGATATATGATGTTGTGGGATCCATCGTGTCTTTAAAGATGTTTATAAAATTTTTTTCTACATTTACACTTGTGAAAACTAATCACCTTTAACCTACATAGTTATAGGTCTATATATACCTGTCTATGATTTTATCAAATTACTTGACACACCTAATATCCAGTAACATTAATCACTGTTAATGATTTTCATGTTTACAAATACACAAAAGTGCTTAATAATAATTATCTTAGCATTGAGAAATATATGTTACAATTACATGTAAACAGTAATACAAAAAGTCTTGAAAGTTCGTTAAATTTATTAGAGACTGTTTTGAACTTAGAAGTCAATTACTGGACAATTCTTGAAAAAATATGTAAACATGATTTAATGATGATTAGTGGGCCTTTGCCAATTATTGTAACTGTGTTTGTGCTAATAAAGTATTTGTATTTGTATTTGTACACCGATTCATGATCAGAATATTGAATGCAAAATAATATGGACTCTAGTATGGCATAAATCATGAAAATATTTCTGTTTGATGTTCTTCATGTAAAAAAAGCAAATTGCCAAAAGTGATACCTTCAACATAAAGGATAATGGTTGCTAAGTGTTCCTTCCAGTCCTACTGCAAAAGTGACACATAGGAATTCTCCGTTAGCCTCCTTGCTAATCATTTAAATATTTAAAGAGGTGTTCTTATTATACAGTGTACAAGATGGGCCTTTCGGGTTACTCTGACACCAGCCAAAAGGAAATGGATGAAGGGTAGTCTGATTGTGAGGGCGGAAGAACCATTCCATGCTATCATGAGAGGAGGGGTGACATTCCAGAGTGATTGCTTCTCTGGGGTAGCGCGAGGTGGATAAGCTGTCGCTAGGAGGTATCACGGGAATATCTGAAAAAAAATAACCTGTCATTACATTAAAGTTATCTTCCTTGTTGTTTTCAGTATGCCTTTTTAGACGGTGGCTATTTATAGCCACAGGCTATTGATGCTGGTCTGTGTAAACACACGGGAACCCTAGCGGCGATTTTTGCAGAGTCAAAATAATGAAAGTAGACTTATTTCGATGTTTGAAAATAAAATGTACTCAGTTAACAAATACTTTCAAGTTATTTCAAACACATTTCGTTGATGGATACAAATAATTCCTGATATTTGCCGTTATCAATATTTCTCGCCTCATGAATATTCATTGAGTTACGCCAAATGATACTAACTTCGTCACCAACCGACTCGTATATTCGTATGCAAACTACAGATGTCAATACGTACATTTTTTTTTGTTTTTTCTCACATGTTCGAAAAAATCCGTTTCATACGCACATTGTGTTTCTTTAAGGATTTCAATTAATGGGAACAAATTCTCTACCCTTAAATGTCCGTCAAGTACACAATAATCTGATATTATATTAAAGCATTTTATAGTGGAAAAGGATGTACGAGAAATTTTCAAAAATCATTAATTAAGGAGTAGTTAATTAACAAAGATTGCATTGAAGTTTATGGGGAAAAGCGTTTTTTTCAAAATAAAAATTCAAATACTTTGAATATCAATAAATCCTGTGGTGGAAAGATGCATTGAAATATTAAAAATAGAATGATAATTGAAAACAATTTTTTTACCTGCTAAATTTTTTTAAATTGATTTTTTTTAATTAATTAAAAAAGGGGAGATAACTCTTACCAAAATTCAAGGTCATGAATTAGGACACATCCCACTAAACATACTTATAGTAATAAATGGGAACTATGTCTAAACAAACTGAGTATTGAATGC